TTCCTGCTGGGAACTTTACTTTTTAAAAAGTTGCAAATAAATTGCCTGTTTGACCAAGTGCTGCATCTGTGCCTGACTTGGTTGGGGAATAGGGGCATAGGGTGCTGCCTGCTCAGCTGCCAAGGAGTTAGGGAGCATTTTGAGGAAGAACTGACACGGTGGACTCTGCTTTTGCCAGTTCCTTCAGTAAGGCTCCCTTGGCTGCCTGTGCTCCTGTGCTGGGTCCTGCTCTTTTCGGCCTTGCAGCAATGTCAGCTATAGGCCATTGCTAGAGTCCTGGTTCTGCTCTTTGGACTTTGCCAGTGGCTCAGGAAAAGGAGTTGTGAGCCCTGTAGCAATGGTGAAGAAGGGAACTCCAGCAGAAACTCATAGCAGGAGAAGGATGAGGAGTGGGAGAAGGAAGAAAGAGCAGGAGAAGATCCTCATGATGACAGGGATCTGGCCAGGTTTTTTGCAAGGCATATCCAGTAGCCAGTGCAGAACCTGGCCTATAGGAGCTGGGTTGTGGAGGAGCTGGTGGGTGACCTTCTTTGCTTCTTCCAAGTTCCCTCATCAAATTGTTTCATCCTATTTCTGCAGCCAGCAATGAGTGCGAGCAGCACCTTCAAATGTTGGTGTCTCCATGAGGATGATGCTGCCTAACACCTGCTTGTGCCCCTGCAGCCCCTCCATGGGCATGCCTTCCACCTGGAGCTGGGAACCACACACAGGAGGTGCTGGCAAGAGACTCCTGTGTCCACGTGGAGCTGGACTGGACCCACACAAAGGAGCGGCTGGTGGACAACCTTCTGTGCTTCCTCCACCACCCTGATGATGCACTGAGGAAAGCCCTGTGTCAACCCCCTACCAGGTAACAGTGCTGCCCTTCTCCCACTTCTGCAAACTCCACCTAGCTGGCACCTTCAAGAAGACTGTTTTCATTGTGGTGATGGTTAACAGGGAGAAAGGCAACTCGGACATCTTGCTGAGCATCTGGTAGGACAAGGCTAGCTTCACTGTCTTTTGCTTTCTCTTTGATAGAATTGTACTTCTTAAGTCACATTTGGTCATCTCATGAGATCATGTTCAGCTTTCATGGGTCCTTAGGACTATAAGGTCTATCTTTTGGTTTTAGATAGTCTTTAGCAGGAAATGTTCTACTTAAAGTAGCTAAAGCAAGCATGTGGGATCGATCTGCCTTTTTCTTGCTGCGTCTGTCTAGTTTGTCAGCATACATCCAGTTTGGATGCTCCCTCCCTGGAAGTGTTCAAGGCCAAGTTGGATGGGGCTTTGAGCAACCTGATCTAGTGGAAGGTGTCCCTGCCCATGCAGGGGGATTGGATCTAGATGATCTCTAAGGTCTATGCATATACATCTATGCATATTTGTTTTCTTGAGTGATGGGAACATCATCCTCTAATTAGGGTCCTGATTAATTTTGTCATCCAAGTCCTATAGCTGGCTAAAGAAGATTATCATTACCCTCTAAATAGGCTATGTACCTTCTCTTTCTGAACACATTTGGAATATGATGGATAGCACCTTCAGCCACATTCTTCCCTGTGGTGAGGATAGAGATTTCTGCACTGAGAGTTCTGTGGCTCTGACAGTTGAGTTAGTGAGACCTGTCTGGAATTAGAGCTTGATATTTTGCCCAGGGAAAACGTTTTTACTTCAGAAGATTGTCTATGTCTCTCTGTCTTTCCTGAAAGTTTGTTCTTTTTTTTTTTTTTTTATCCTTGACAAAGATTTGAAATGAATGTCCCAATATACATGAGGCAGACACTTGGGTACTCGGACACACTGTGGCCAGGGTCCCCTCTTTTACCCCTTAGTTTCACACTTTTCTAGAGCTTCATCTGGTTGTATTTTAGTAAATAATTTCCTCTTTAAAAATGCCTTTGGGAATATGACTTGAAACATAAGTCTGAGGTCTCTAATAATTTGCTTGTTTTGCTAAAAGTTTTCTTACTGGAACTGAGTCCAGTCATGTCTGTATAAGATAAAGACAAGAACCCTGATGTTCTGCATCCATAAATGAAATGCCATTTCTTATTGGCTGAGCTTGTAGATACCAGAAGGGAGGAGATTGACTTGCATTTCATAGAAGAAGGAAGCTGATTCCAAGCTAGTTTCAAGCTGACGTAACCTACCTCCTTGTTACCAACTGCACTGTAAGCACAGTGGGGGCAAGACAAAAGTCTGGTGACTAGCAAGTCATCCCAAAAGCTGTCCCCATTGAACAGCTCTCAGGTTCAGACCTTGTTTTAGTGGTTGCACTCAAGAAATGTTGCCATTTACTGCATTTTATGTCTATTTTAATGGTATCTGTGACTGTAGTGATGTTTCATGCGATTTTTTTATATTTACTGAACTTGATGAGTATGAACAGCTACATACCATGACAGTTTTATGTAGGCTCTTCTTTGTCAAGTGTTAATTATGTATGGTGTTAGTTTAGAAGTGAAATATATTATGAATATGTTTTGAGGTATGATTTGAAAAAAACCCCTACCTTACAATGAACAGTGAGAACTTACAGTGGAAACTGGAAGACACAAAACATTGCTTAGTTCACAAAGCCAGGGTTTCCTCATAAGGCAATCTGAAGGGTGTGAAACATAAATGTAGGGTAGGTTTTTCAGAGAGTCAAAGTAATCATTTTAAATGTGGAAGTGACACGTGGCACAGCTAGTAAAATGTTCTTTTGTTTTTTGTGGCATGTAGAAAAAAAATTAGTTTTTCATTCCTAGTCCCCTGCAGAAGCCAATATCCACAATTTGCTGTAAGCAGCAGTGCTTCTTTGCTCCTTAGTGACTTAAAAACAGAGTACAGAAAGTAAATATGGCACTGCAACAACCAAAACAAAGTAATATCTTTTCTAGTGCTGATACTGATTTTTTCTCCTCAGAGACAGGCATCACTATGTGGCAGGAGTATATATTAAAAAAAAGCCAGTTACCATGACCTGGTTACCTCTGCTTGATGAAACCATAAATATTCAATCTTGAATTGATATTATTAACTCTTCAATCCTTTATTTCACCATTGGCAACTCTGTGAGCATTAATATAATTTACTTAACAAGATACATAAGTCCAGAAATCTCGTAATTTGGGTAAAGAAAACTTACTCCGATAACATTTGGGGAATTTTTTATATGATAAGGACTGTAATTGTACCATGTGTTACTGCCTTTGGGAGTCACTGCCTGTTAACAGTGCAACTTCTCTTCTGCCCCTTCCTGGGACCATCCTCACTTCAACAGATTGCAGTGATCCTGAAACAGGAATGAGCAGCTCAGTGATCTCAGCTGCATAAACTTTCCCTTCCACAGCTCAGAAGATGGACACAAGTGGGATCCTACTTAGTCTCCCGGAGCCATCCAGTAGAACCATCAAGCATGCAATTGGTTGTGCAGTTTTACCATGGCAGTTGCAGTTCTGCAGCAGCCCAGTTTCTCAGGTCCTTGTGTCATCATCTGGTAAAGTTAGTTTTGTTTTGTGCAGCACTGCTGTGGAGGAATAACGGGCAGAGAAAGCAGAGGAATCCAACCCTTCCCGGGATGTTTCCGTGATGTAACACCGTGGCCCTGACGCGCTTCGGTGGTTGGTACAGAAGTTGTGAGCGTGGACATTCTGTAGGATAAGGTGATATCCAGCAACTGACTGACTACAGAGAGGGTTAAGCCTTGCTGATGGCTCTGCTGCTGTAAGCAGAACTTTACAGTAAAATACCGGACTCAGAGTGTTTTCCCTCTGTGCTTTGCTGTTCGTTTCTGTGGTACCACAGCGTGTTTGTTTCGCTGAAACACGGGGAGTGACAAGCGTCCTGTTCCTCAAGAGCTGGCAATTTGGAAGGCAAACCCTCTAATACTCAGGCAGGTATTCGAGTAGGACAGAAATCGATTATTCCCTTAATCTCACTTATAAACATAGCCAATTAAATCAGCTCTCAACGACAAGCAGGGAGCTGCAGGGGCCGGGGGCAGCGCCCAGGGGGCTGGGCTGGGCTGGGCTGCGCTCCGCCGAGGCAGGCAGGGCCCGTCGCGGCTGCCGGCCCGGCCCGGCGCTGG